ATGGCTGGACCACAAAGGAGGCCATGGTAGCCTGTCGTCAGCTCGACCTGGGCTACTCCCTGCATGCAGTGACGGTAGGTGCCAGCGGGGAGGCTCCCGGCAATGCCCTGGTGAGCACAGACACCGGCGCTTCCTGGACAGCTGTGGGGCTGTCTGGGGACAGAGGCACACGGCCACCCTGTGCTGCAGGACAGGACCCTTGTGGGTGGGCTGGGGCGTGGGCAGGGCTGCGCGTGGTGGAGGTCTGGCTGCAGCCTGGGCGTGAGCAAATCGGGGCAACCTGGCCACCAGTTGTGCCACCCACCCTGCCTCGCCCCTCCTCAGGAGACATGGTACTGGGACGCCAGCAATGTGACGGAGATGGTCATGAGCGGGGTGAAGTGCGCTGGCCACGAGATGTCCCTGAGCCATTGCCAGCACCACGGCGCCAGCCTGAGCTGCAGGAACACGGGCACGCGCTTTGCCGCAGGCGTCATCTGCTCTGAGAGTGAGCGGCCACGGGGGCTGCAGGCGGGGGGTGCTGTGGGCAATGGGAGCTGTGAGTGGTGGGGTCTGGGGGCACTGGGGGCTGTGGACGACAGTGCTGTGGGGGCAGGGGCTGCAGCTAAAGAGGCTGTAGGCAGTGGAGTTTGCATATGGAGGGGCAGCAGGGTCAACCTGTCCCCAGCAGATGGGGGGGCTGCATCCTCCCCAGCCAGCTCAGTCCTGCCAGAGCTGGGCACTGCCCTGTCCCTGCTGAGCAGTGGGGCCTGTCTCAGAACAGCTGCCTTTCCCCAGCTGCCTCGGACCTGCTGCTGCACGCACCGCTGGTGCAGGAGACGGCCTACATCGAGGACCGGCCGCTGCACATGCTGTACTGCGCCGCCGAGGAGAACTGCCTCTCCAGCTCTGCCCGCCTGGCCAACTGGCCCTATGGGCACCGCCGCCTGCTCCGCTTCTCCTCCCAGATCCACAACCACGGCCGTGCCGACTTCCGCCCCAAGGCCGGCCGGCACTCCTGGGTCTGGCACGAGTGCCACCGGTGCGTGTGCGGCACAGGCAGAGACGGGCATGAGCAGGGACAGCTGGGGCGGGGAGAGGGTGATGGTGCTGCTGCAATGGGCTGAGTGAGGGTGAGGGGGATGCTGGGCAGGGGTGACACTGAGAGAGGGTGGCACTGTGTGTGACACCGAGTGAGGGCAATGCTGGGTGAGGCTGACGCTGAGTGAGGCACCATTGCTGTCCCTCGTTTGGCTCAGGACTGTCCCTGAAGGAGCAGTTGTTGGGGCTGGAGGCCCCATAGATGGCAGGGACAGGGCTGTAGGCTGGACCCTGTGGCTGAGCCCTCTGCTTGCCAGGGCCATCTGGCTGGGGACAGTTGTGTCTGCTCCCAGGGCAGGACAGAGCTCTCCCCAAATTCACAGTGCTATGGGCTCAGAGCAGGGGCTGGGGGACCTTCCTGGTGGTGAGGGACCAGGTCCTCACTTGGCTGGTGTGGGGGGCTGACACAGGGCAGGGCAAGTCTCCCATCTGCCCTGGGGGTCCCTGCCTCTGCCAGGCTCCAGTCAGCAGGCTCCCTCCCGCAGGCACTACCACAGCATGGACATCTTCACCCACTACGACATCCTGACCCCAAACGGCACCAAAGTGGCTGAGGGACACAAGGCCAGCTTCTGCCTGGAGGACACCGAGTGCGAGGAAGGTGAGTGACACCGGGCCCTGCAGCATTGTCCCTGCCTGTGTCCCTGTCACAAGGCTGCTGGGGCCGGATTGAGTGGGCATCACAGGGGATACAGAGGGGGGCTGCAGCACGGATGAGCTGCATCTCCTCCTGCCTGCAGACGTGGCCAAGCGGTACGAGTGTGCCAACTTCGGGGAGCAGGGCATCACTGTGGGCTGCTGGGACCTGTACCGGCACGACATCGACTGCCAGTGGATCGACATCACTGATGTTAAGCCAGGCAACTACATCCTGCAGGTGCTGGACCTGAGCCACCCCGGCCCTTCCTGCCACCCTACCACGTACACCCCCACCCTCTGCCCCTGCACCCCAGATCTTCACATGCCCCCACAACCTGGTCCTCTCTCCCAGTGGAACTGGGGGGGTTGGCAGGTATTCTGCTGTAGGACAGTGCCTGTCCTCATGCCCACAGACATGCAGGGCTGCTCAGACAGGCTTCTGCATGAGTTTTCCAGCTCTGAGCAGTGCTGCTCATGGTGCACAGGGACAGAGCCACCTCAGCACAGTGGCTCCTCGTAGCCCTCAGCACATGCAGGGCAGCTGGGGAGACACATCCTGTGGGGCTGGGGCACAGAGGTCATGCCCTGGGCACAGCTCCACCGAGGCTGGGAAGGTGTGGGACAGAGGGCTGTGCCCTCACTGTCAGTGCCCCACAGGTTGTGATCAACCCCAACTTCGAGGTGGCAGAAAGTGACTTCACCAACAACGCCATGAAATGCAACTGCAAGTACGACGGGCACCGCATCTGGGTGCACAGCTGCCACATTGGTAACACCCGGGACACGGCCCAGGGGCGAGGGCACGCGGGCAGGGGTGCCCTGGGAGAAGGGTAGCGAGATGGCTGCAAGAGGCAGTGGGGATGGGGGTGGGCAGGGGCTGGGGCCCTAGGGGCAGCTCTCGTGGCAGGGGAGGTGCTGGCAGGGCAGGTGACCTGCAGCACCAGAGCTGACAGCTCTTTCCCTCTGCCCACAGGAGATGCACTCAGCGAGGAGGCCAACAAGCGGTTTGAGCATTACCCAGGTCAGCTCAACAACCAGATTTCATAGGGTCCCAGACCCAGAGAGATGGGCATCTCCCTCCCTCACCCCGTATGGGTAGGAGGAAGCCCCTGGGGGCCAGCGGGGAGGCCTCATGCCCAGCACTGTTGCTGCTGCTGCTGGGGATTGCCCAGGACTCACCATCGGCTGCCCTTCCCCACCTCGGGGAGCTGGTGCTGGAGGTGGCTCCAACACCTGCACCTCCCAGCCTGGGGCTGCCACCCCAACCACTGGCCAGAAAACCGTGCCCACGTTCCCTGGGCTGTGGCACATGGGTACGGTCTGGAAGGTCCTGCACCCCCCACCACTCCAGTCCTTCCCATTCCAGCTGCACCCCACCTCCTGCTCCTCCCTTCAGCCCTGGTTCCTGTCACTCCACATCCCTCCCCACAGCTCAATCCCTGTGCCCCTCCGAGGACCCACCCTCCATGCAGGGACCCATTCCCCTGCCTGGCCTCAGGAGCCTCTGGTCCCCAGGGATGGTGAGAGTGCCCCTGCTTGCAGCACTGCCCAGGGGCAGCTCATACCCCATCTCTCAACCGTAATTTTATTTTCTCTATAAAGTTGTTAGTTCTATTTCCCAGTGGCTGCTGGCACTTCTCTGCCCCGCGTGGCGCAGCTCATGCTGCAGGGCTGGTTGGCACGCTCTGGCACAGAGCGTGGGAGCATCCCCTGGCCAACCCCTGCACCCACCTTGGGTGGTGGATTGAGGCTGTTCCCCCATCCACACAGTGCAGGCCCCACACCAGTCCCCTGCCTGCATCCCCCTCAACCAGGTTCCCCCACTCTGGGAGATACCCAAGTGGGTGAGAGGAAGGAGCCAGCAGCAGCCCCACGGCATCACAACAGGGGGAACTGAAGGGCCACCCTGGCACAGCTGGGGTGGGGTGAAGTGCTGTTCCCCTGCACCAGATCCAGGGCAAATGTTATCGAGCAGAAATCCCACCCTGGGGCTGCGACCCACAAGGACTGGGGGCTCGTGACAGAGGGGCTGCCTTGACTTGCGTGGGAGCACAGCCTGGCAGGGCCAAGACATGCTGGGCAGGGACACTTGGACATGACACAAGGGCCAAGGGAGGCAAGGCCCAGCTCTCATACCTCAGCCCAGTGCTCTGGTCGTGCCTGCAGCACACGAGTTGTAGGGACATCAGGCGCTGCCCCCGAGCCCAGGAGGAGGAGGAGGAGAGGGGCAGGCCTCGGCTGGGGCCCTGGAACGCGCTGCGGTCAGCGCAGCCGGAGCAGCTATGCCAGACATGCTGTGATTTCCCCCACGCCAGCGGCGCTGGCCGGGGCAGCGAATTCCTCCGGCGAGTCCGGGGCTGCTGAAAGGACGTCTGTTCTCAGGGCGGGGAAGTGGGGGGGGCAGGAGCAGAGCCGGCCCTCACCGAATCGCCCTGGAGGAACTGTGCTTCTTTCATCTCCCAGAAGAACAGCTGGGGCCCAGGAGCCCCATCACGGGCAGGGCCTGGCCCGACACCCGCATTCCTGCCATCACACTGGGCCGGACACGGCCGTTCCAGGCTGTCCTCGCCGCAGAGCCGCTGCCTCCCGTTTCCGTGGGAGCAGAGGGGGGCTCTTCCAGGAAGGCGAGAAACGGCTGGAACTGCTCCTTCCCAGAAGGGCCAGCCAGGCAGCTGCACAACACAGGGATGGGCCCAGCTGTCCCCAGGGGCTGGGTGTGTGTGGGAGCGGACACTGGGCTGCAGTGGGACAGGCAGAGCGACAGCCCAGCTTCCACCCTTGGCCCTCCTGAACGTCAGGGTCAGGGGTCGCTGCCTTGGCCATGGTGAAGTCCACCATCAACACCCCTTTTGCCATGGCCTGGAACGCTGCTGCATGGGAGGGGGCGTGGGCACAGACCTCGAGCACTCACGGAGCTCCCAGCAGAAGCAATGTGACCAGATGAACATGGCACAGCCACAGCAACATGGAGCAGCTTGGCTGCACTCCAGGGAGGAACTGCTGGTCCCAGAGACACCCCTGGGCCACTCTCACCCACAGAGAGGCTGCACAACGCTTGACAGCTGCCAGCCTGGTACAGATGGAGGAGTCAGATCCCAGCTGTGGGGGTACTGAGCGGGTGACAGGACACCACTAATGCCGAGGAGGTCCCTGGAGGCACAGACAGCTCCTCTCCAGCCGGGAGGTCTTGTGTGAGGACTGACAGGAGGGGCAGGGTCCCACGCAGCCTGGCTTCCACCAGGCAACTCCTGCTGTTGTGGGAAGGTGATGTGGCACGGGGGGCCCCTAGAAAAGTGCTTTATTTTGAGTACAGAGGGAAACTGCCGCACCACAAGTCACCCAAGCACCAGGCCGGGCCCCTCTCCTGGCTCCTTCCAGCCTTGCATGAGCTCTCAGGCCCTTCCTGGCTGGCACAGACACAGCTCAGTCCTGCTCTCAGCACCGGTCAGCACCGGGCGGTCCCCGCTACTCCGTCACTTCAGGCACGACACTCACCAGCAGCGTGTCGTGGCCGCGGCGCACCAGCATGGCCAGGCTCTGCTGCGTCCGCACCGCCTCGTACACGTCCTCGGCGCGCCGCGACGCCGTCCCATTGATCTCCAGCACCACGTCACCGGCCTTCAGCCCAGCCCTGCGGGGAGAACACGGATGGAGCACAAAGTAGGCGAAGCAGCCACTCAGCTTCATCAGCCCTGAAGGACGGAGGGGCAGGCACAGGAGCCTCGGGCCATAGCACCAGGTGTTCCTCCAGCCACACTGGTACCTCAGCCAATGGGACAACCAGCCTGGGCAAGGGTGCTCAGGTGGTTTCTGCTGCAAGGCCCAAGCCCTCCTGCCCTGGAGCAAAACACCTGGAGCTAAACACATCCCCCCTTGGCAGAGCTGCTCCTTCACACACCCCAAGGCACAGGGCAGCACTTACTGATGGGCCGGGGAGCCGATGATCACCTTGTGGATCAGCACACCGTAGGACACGTCAGGGAAGCTGGGGTCACGCAGCTTCAGCTCCGCCAGGATGCTGCAGAGTGGAAACCGGCATAAGGGATGGAGCTGGAGGTAGAGCAGGGCTCCCACCCCACACCAGCTGCACAGGCTCAGAGACTAGACACAAAACCTCCTCTCCTGCATCCCTGCACACTGCTGAGTACGAGCACAGCTGCCAGCCCCAAACACCACCACCCTCCTGTCAAAACAAGAGGACAAGAGTCCCAGTGGCACCAGGAGAGCTGGAAACCACTGGAGCAGCTGCCATCTGGATCAGAGCTGTGGTGATGCATGTCTCCACATCACATCGCCCTTCCCAGTGTCAGACCCACCCCTCTCCTGCTACAGTTTTCCTTCTCAGTGGGCAGGACACACAACACAAGCTGTGCTCCTCTTCCTGCCAGACCTGTCACCAGAGCTCTACCCATGTCTCTCCTCTGGAGTCTAGAGACTAATTCCAGTTCCTCCAACTTTCTCACAGATTTTAAGTTTTCTAAACCAAGCTTAAACGCTGCATCTCTCACAGCTCCCCTTTGGACTCTCCCCAGTAGCTTCTCACCCCTCCCGAACGCATCCAGAAGTGGATGCAGCACTCCAGCTGGATCTCTCCAGAGTGGAAAACAGCAGTCTTCCTTCAAACACTGCAGCAGCTCTGATCCCTGCAGCCTCAGACACTCACAATCTCTGCCCAGCTCTGCTCCCACCAGGTCTCTGCTCAGCCAGTCAGGGCTCTCCATATGGCAGTGGTCCATGCAGAGCTCTACTGCACTGTCCCACAGCTCAGTGCAAGCTGCCATCCCTTCCTGATTTCACACAGTGGAGGTGTGAAGGGGCCTCTCGAGATCATCTTGCCTGACCCCCCTGCTCCAGCAGGCTCAGTCAGGGCAGGTTGCCCAGGACTGTGTCCAGCTGGCTTTTGAGGATCTCCAAGGACTCTCCAGACAATGTGTGCCAGGCTCTGACCACCCTCCTCACAGTAAAAAAAGTGATTTCTTGTGTCCAGATGGAGCATCACGTGTCTCTGTGGCCTCTGCCTCTTGTCCTGCCCCTGGGTACTACTGAGAGAAGAACAGGGTCTGTGCCTCGGATTGTGCCCAACACGGAGCTTCCTCTTCCTGTGCCAGGGAAAGGTTCTGGCCTTTGCAATGAGCGTGTTCAGACCAGTCATCCTTTTCCAAGGCAAGCAACCCCTTGTTGGAAGACCTTCCCACTGGACACAAAGAAGGCTCACAGTCAGGTGGTTTCCCTGGACCGGCTCACTGGCTGTGCAGAAGCTGGACCCGCTTCCCAGGAGCCATGTCCGAGGCATTTCACGCTGCTTCCTCACAGATCCTGTCCTGCAGCGTGGCCAGGGAAGCAGGAGGAGGCTGGGCTCCCACATTCCTCGGGTTCTGCTGAGTACCAGCACCATCTACTGGGCACCCACTGGGGCTGCCGGCAGTGCTGGCTGTGCCCCCCCCACCCCCCTCAGGGGGCACAGAGCACTCGCTCCTCCCTTTGAGGCCAGGCAGGAGCCCCAGAGGCTGCTCATGGTGCCCGGGGGTGCAGGCAGCCCACAGACCCAACCAGTGCACAGGAGTAACAAGAGCTTTAGGAGGGCAGAGCTGCCCAGCATGGCACAACACAAGCCCCAGCAACGTGCTGAGCCCCATGAGGCAGCTGAAGGTCCCTTTAAGGTGGCTGCAAAAGTCAAGGAATGGGAGCAGCTGCTGTCCTTAAGAACTACTCCCAGAGGTGAGAGTGCACGTCCTGTTCGCTCCTGACATTGGTCCTTCATGGAATCACAGAATTGTTTGGGTTGGAGAAGATATTTAAGATCAAATCCAACTGCTCCCCCCCAGAACTGCCAAGGCCACCACTGACCATGTCCCCAAGTGCCACATCCACAGGGCTGTTAAATCCCATCCTCCAGGGATCGGGTCTCCCCCCCTGCCCTGGGCAGCTCTGCCAGGGCTGGACTGCCCTTTCCAGGAAAGAATTTTCCCAGTATCCAACCCGAACCTCCCCTGTCACAGCCTGAGGCTTTTTCCCATCCCCTGTCGCTTGTTCCCTGGGAGCAGAGCCCAACCCCCACCTGGCTACACCCCTCCTGTTAGGGAGCTGTAGAGAGCCAGAAGGTCCCCCCACAAGCCTGGTTAGACCAGTCTGGAGTCTAACCCCAACCTGAGCACAAAGAGATTCGGGACTGAAAGCTTAAGCTGTGGAGACAATCCTCCCAAAACCAGGCACCTTTGGTTAGTTGGGAAGATCCCATTACACCCCTGCCCCAACAGGACCAGTCTTTTGGCCCTGAGCTCAGGACGGGCACCTGGGAGTGAGGGTCAGCATCATCACCCCGATGTACCGGCGCTTCGTCTCTGCGTTGCCAAACCAAGAGCCTGCTGAAGGAAAGGACACGGAATGTCATGGCTGGAAAACAGAGACACGCTCAGAATAGTGCTGGGATGAGCTCCACAGCCCTCAGAGCAGGCAGTGTGTGCAGAGTCATTCCCAGTCCCCACAATAGGTCAGTCCAGCTCTTGGTACCAGTGAAAGTGTTAGTGTTACAGCACTTTGCACTGACTTTGCTTCCCCAGTTTGTCAGTTTTTGACTGAGAATGCCCCTCCCTGGCATCACAGGAGAACCAGACAGAAGTCTGCCTTAAATAATTCTCACACACAGAGGCACAGAAAGAGGCAACATTCCATATGGCCAAATGAAAGACTTGCCCTCTACGCTACCACTGAATCCTGCACCTGCACTTCCTCCGCTGCACACCAGACGCAGCAGACCTGGGTTCCAGGTTACCTCTCCCTGTTGGAACACCAACAGAAGCTTCACTCATTTCCCATGTGTTAAGATCTAATGAAAAGTAGCAATGAACCAAAAGTAGGATCCTCATGTACCCCTGAGGACACAGGTTACTTGGGACACTTGATCTGCAGCAGAGGGAGGCAGCTGTGGGCAGGGCAGCAGCAGCAGCACAGCTTTCCAGTGGTACAAGGGAGTTTTATGACAGATGGGACTCCAAAGGCTCCTTTTCCTGCTCTCCTTGTCATTATCTGGAAGAAGGGCTTGGAGCCCAGCTGTGCCAGAGTTTCCCTCTCTCATCTTCCTCCCCCAGCACCCGAGCAGGGAGGCTCCCACTTACTCTTGCGCTGCTCCTCCCTTTGCAGGAACTTCCGGAGCCGGTCAGAGGGGATGGCAAAGGAGATGCCTGATGTCACCTTCATGGTGTTCACCCCAATCACCTCGCCATCCTGCAGGGAAAGGGCACTGGGATACCCAGCCTGGATCACTTGGAGAGCAGGGGAACTACTGCACCAGCCTGAGGTCCCAGCTGTGTGCCCACCCCTTCCCAGGCTGCTGCTCCTGTGTCCTGCCTGACCCTGCCAAGGTTGGGCAGGGGCCAGGGGCTGCCCCAGGCAGGCCCAGCCCCTCACTCTGCCCCACCAGCACCAGCCACGCCTCACCAGGCAGGGCTCAGCTCCTCCAGAGTTCCATCTGCTCTGTCTCCCTCAGATGCTGCGCAGGGTTCCCATGCCAGGCTGAATCGTCCTCCTCCTCCTCACAGGGAACCTGGAGGACTCACAGGCCCTCCCTCCCAGCACCCACGAGCACTCCCATAGAGGGACACAGAGCAAGGGGCACACAGCACATCTCTGCCCCAGCCAGCAAGGGAACAAGGAGCAGGACTCACCAGGTTGACAAGGGGGCCCCCGGAGTTCCCAAACTGCGGCAGAGGAGAGAGAGCGAGCAGACCATGAGAGCCCCATCCTGCATGGCAGCAACAGCAGGCCAATCCCAGGAACTGGGTCAGGCCGATCCCAGCGTGCCTGGGTGTCCGGCCAGAACCCCCTCAGCTCCCTGCGCTCCGTGTGAGCCCCCTCCTCCCCCCAGCACCCACAGCCTTGCCCAGCTCCCACGCCCTTACGTCAATGGCGGCGTCGGTCTGGATGTACTCCATGTCGGAGGCAGCGAGGCCCAGCTCGCGGCTGCCGCGCTGCGCTGAGCTCACGATGCCCGAGGTGATGGTGTTCTGCAGCGCAAAGGGGCTGCCCATGGCCACCACGAACTCGCCCTGCCGCACCTCGGCCGAGCGGCCCAGCGGCAGCGTGGGCAGCGGGTGCTGTGGGGAGCGGGACTGTGAGCGTGGGGGATGAAGGGAGGGTGCCCCCGTCCCCACGCTGCGACACACACCTTGGGCTTGATCTTGATGGTGGCGATGTCGGCCACCTGGTCCACGTCCTGCACCACGGCGTCGTACTGCTCGCCGCTCGCCAGCTTCACCCGCACGCGCCTCCGGTTCGCTACCACGTGCGCGTTGGTGACGATGAGCCCATCTGGGGACACCAGGAACCCCGAGCCGTTGGAGATGGGCACGTCCCGGCCCAGAAAGGGGTGCCTGCAAGAGGGGCCCGGGTCAGGAGGGGGGACAGGGACCCTGGGGTGTCCGGTGGGGAGTCTGGGGAGGTCAGGTGGGGCCACACAGATGGGTAGGGCTGAGAAGCAGCGGGGAACAGCAAGGATGTCCGGGCAGCAGCCTTTCCCCTCGTGAGGTAGAGGGTGTGACACTGGGAACAGGTGTGACCAGGCTGGAGAGCAGAGCTGCTGCCCTGAGATGTTCCAAGATGCCGGAGGTGCTAGATGGCAAGAACATTATGGAGTGCAAAGGGAAATAAATGCAAAGTAGTGCTCCTGAGGCAGAGTGATAGGGCAGCCTGGAAGGCAGCTCTGCTGGACGGTCCTGAAGGACAAGGAGGTGGCAGCGGCGTGTGGCAGCTGTGTGACCCCGTGGCGTGTCCCCGCGTGCCAGTTGCGTGCACGGGAAGCGGGGCCGGGTCGGTCTCTCCGGCGGCACTTGGGGGACCTCACTGGGACGCCGTGCCCGGTTCAGAGACACAGGCCGGGGCGGCTGAAGGAAAGGCCAGCGGAGGCCGCGGAGCAGGGGCTGCATTGCGCTGGGAAGCGGGGGATCCCTCCCGGGGCCGCCCGGGACCGGCACCTGCCCACGATCTCCACGTAGACCAGCGCGGGCGCCGTTTTCTCCACCACGTCGGCGATGAAGTTGAAGGCGGCGCGGGGCGAGGCGGGCGGCGGAGCGGGCGGCGGGGCGGGCACGGCTGCGCTCAGCGCGGGCCGCTGGCGCTCCCGGGCCCACAGCAGCACCAGCGCCGCCGCCCCCGCGCCCACCGCCGCCGCCAGCGCCCGGCCCCGAGCGGGGGCCGGCGGAGAAAGGGGAGGGGGTGGTGGCGGAGGAGGCTCAGCAGCCCCAGTGAGCGCTCGGCACCAGTTCAACGCTACCGGCGGCAGCGGCACCCGCAGGACCCGCAGAACCCGCACCCTCCGCGCCGCCGCCGCCATGCTGCCGCCGCCGAGCGGAAACCCCGCCCCGCCGGGACACGGCCCGGCCGCGGGGCACGCCGGGAGCTGTAGTCCTGGGGCGGGCCCTGGCAGGAGCTGCCCTCCGCCGCGAGGCACGCCGGGAGCTGTAGTGCCCTTGCGATTTGTGGGCTCACCGCCAGCGAGAGGTGCCGGTAACCGGTGACGCCGGCGGAGTATACGGAGCGAGGCGGTCCCACGGTCAGAGCCGCTGGTCGGACCCGCCGGAGTGGCGGCTAGAGTGAGGGAGAGGGGGCGCGCGGTGCAGGCTGGGCAGGCGAGGCGCTCCCATCGCGCCCCGCGCGGGCCGGGCGCGCGGCCGCGGGCAAGATGGCGGCGGGTGTGGGTGCGGGTGCGGGGCGGTCGTGAGGCGGCGGCGCGGCGGGGATGGAGCCGCCCGCGGCCCCGGGCCCCGAGCGGCTCTTCGACTCGCACCGGTGAGCGCTCTCCCGGGGCCCGCGGGCCGGAGGCTCTCAGGGAAACTGCGCGGGAACCCGGGGGGGGGGGACCCTGGGCGGCGGGCCTGGGGTCCGCGGGGGGCTAGAGTGTCTCGCGGGAGCCCCGTGGGGAAGGTCGGGGTGAGCCGTGGGGAGACGGGGGATGCCCCGGGTGGGCTGCGGAGGCTCCTTGAGTGGGCTCAGGAGGTTCCGCAGAGCGAGGGTCTCGGGGGGCCCTGGGGCTCGTTCCGGCCTCGCTCAGGCGGCCCGCGCCGCTCTCTGCCCCGGCAGGTTCCCGACCGATGGGTTTCTGCTCCTGGCCCTGTTGCTCTACGCGCCCGTGGGGCTCTGCCTGCTCGTTCTGCGCCTTTTTATCGGTGTCCACGTGTTCCTGGTCAGCTGTGCCCTGCCCGACAGCGTCCTGCGCCGGTGCGTGACCCCGGGGGGCTCCGGCTGCTGCCGGGGGCGGGGTGTAGGGCGGGAGGGCCCTCGAGGTCCCGGGCCGGGGGGGCTTGGTTAAGGTGGGGGGCTGTGGGGAGCTGTGCCTTCGGCACTTGTTGTCACTAGGAGCCCTGGTGGTGCCTCATCTGCCAAGCCCAGAGCTGGTGGTCACATCTGGAGTGCTCAGGGACTGGTCTGGAGCACGTGGATGAGCTGCGTGTGGTGCTCAGGAGTTCTGTGGGCATTTGCTGCCCCGTGTTCCAGTCCTAGCCACAATTCCTGCCCCAGATGTGCCGTTTCCGTTTGGTCTCAGTGTTCTTTGTCCAGCCACCAGAATTCCCTGTTCCTCATCCATCAAACCCGTCACCAGCAGCGGCTCTTGACGGCAGGACTCGAGGCAGGCCCTTGTCTCCCTCCCAGGTTTATTGTCCGTGTGATGTGCTCCGTGCTGGGGCTGCTGGTGCGGCAGAACGACCCACGGCTGCGCGGGGCCGGCGCCAGGGTCTTCATTGCCAACCACGTCACCCCCTTCGACCACAACGTCGTCAGCCTGCTCACCTCCTGCAACACGGTAAGGGCTCCTCCCTGGGGCAGTGCTGCCCAGATTCAGTGTTGGTGTAGTCACAGAGTCACTGGATGATCAGGGCTAAAAAGACCTTAAAACCTATCAAATCCCACGTCCTGCCATGGGAAGGGACACCTTCCACTAGCCCAGATTGCTCTAAGCCCTGTCCATCCTGGCCTGGGAAACTTCCAGGGATGGGGCAGCCACAGCTTCTCTGGGCAACCTGTGCCAGGGCCTGCCCACCCTCACAGGGAAGAGTTTTTTCCTAATATCCAGCCTAAATTTTCCCTGTTACAATTGTATCCATTACTCCTTGTCCTGTCACTCCAGTCCCCGATGCAGAGTTCCTCTCTGACTTTTCTTTAGGCCCTTTCAGATGCTGGAAGAATCTCCAGTTCTGAGTTACTAGCCTAGGGTTGCACAAGCCTTGAGGTGTTTTCTGTGTCTCGGTGTCTCTCTTGGGCACTGTGTGAAAAAACAGAACAGAGCGAGGAGGAGCAGGAGTAGTTACAGTGGGTGTTGATTTTGGTGGAAGAGCAGGTAGATCCCAGCAGCTGTTCCCTTCCCTGGCCTTTTGGATCAGAGGGGCAGGGACAGGGCTGGCTGTGAGGTTTCCCTCAGCACTGGATGCTGTTTTGGCAGGGGGGGCAGCTACGTGCTGAGGGAGCTGTGTGTTTGTGTTGCTCAGGCTGTTCTGGGTTGTCCCTGCTCTCTTCTAAAATTCCATGTGTGCGAAGTTCCTGAATCAGCAGGCTCGTGTCCTGCACAGCCATCGAATTACCCCTGACCCAGAGAGGAGGGACTCCTAGAAGCAGTGTGTGTCCTGCCAAGTGTGTCAGGGACTGCTGGAGAGAACACAGGGAACGCTGGCACAGGGGAGTCTGTGTCTCTGGCAGGCAGGGTACAGTCTGAACGGAAGGTTTGGAATCTGAGTCCTGTGGAGTTGGGGCTGGCGGAGGTCCTGAGGCCTGGCGGTAACATGTTCTCTGCCACCAGTGCTGATGGCCCCCAGTAGGCCCTCAGCCCCAGAGGGGATTTTGCTGATGAGCAGGAACTTTGTCTCCTCTGTCACTTGGGAAAGTGACCTGGAGGGCTGCGCAGGGCAGTTTCCTCCTCACTCCTGTTCTTCCTGCAGCCTGCACTGAATGGTGCCCCAGGGTTCATCTGCTGGTCCAGGGGATTCATGGAGCTGGGAGTGATGGGCAACAGGGCGGAACTGGTGGATTCCCTGAAGGAGTACTCGTCCCAGCGAGGGAACCCACCACTGCTGCTGTTCCCAGAGGAGGCAGCCACCAACGGCCGGGTTGGGCTGCTCCGCTTCAGGTGCGGGAATTCCCAGGGCAGGGTGGCTGGGGGTGGCTCCAGGGAGCCGGCATTCTTGCCGTAGGGTGGCTTCAGGGTCATTCAGTGTGGAATTCCTCCCTTCCAGCTCCTGGCCCTTCTCCATCATGGATGTTGTCCAGCCCGTTGCCCTGCAGGTCCGGAGGCCGTTGGTGGCGGTGGTGAGTTGGGGATGCAGGCATGGGGTGAGGGGTGGGTGCTGTGCCAGGCTCTGGGTGCTGCCATTCATCCTGCTCCGGAGCTTGTGGTGTGGCCTGACCTCGTGTCCTGGCACCCTGGGACCAGCTGTTCAGAGCTAATGCTGTTCCCAAGTGTTTTTCCCAGGAACTTGGCCCACTCAGTACTCCCAAAGTTACACTGGCCAGTGTGACAAACATTTGGTGGCCCGGCTGGCTGTCACTGTGCCGCTGGTTTCCATGTCCAGTGCTATGTCCTCTTGGTGAGCTCCTTGCTGTGAAAGACCAGCTCCTGCCCTCGGGGTGGGGCCAATGTGCCAGAGGTCATGCGGGCTCTGGAGGCTCCTGAGCTTGTGCCCCAGGCACACCCCCGGGGACGTGGTGCAAGAGCAGCCCCAGACAAGAGCAAAGTTCACAGTGGCACCAGCAGTGCTGCAGAAGGGATTGCAGGGAAACTGGTCTCAGGCTGTGCTGAATTTCTCGTTTCTTCATATCAGTTATGGATCTGCTTAGTTAAAAGACCCTGAACTGTTACATTTGTCTGACACTTGAGTTGGTTCTTTGTTGTCTATCTCTCTAGGACAACAGGGCACAATGGGCAGAGTCAAAGGCACTTCCCAGCAGGTCACAGAATGTGATGCCCACACTAAGGCAGCAGCAGGTTTTTTGGAGGGTGAGACTGCCAGGGATTCGTGTTCCTACCGTGCTGGCTGGGGCTTTGGCAGCACTGAGGTCCCCAGTTGTGAGGCTCAGGTTAGTGAGTGGCAGAATCCAGGTTATAACTGATCCAGTGACCACAGAGGGCTGCCAGGCATGGCTGTCACTTGTGGGGCAAAGCAAAGGAATCTCTGGCAGGGGGAGGAGTCAGCTGGATGTGTGCAGGGATGAGAATCGCGGGAGTGCTCAGAGAAGCTTTGGTCGCTCCTGCCGGGGCAGGGGGACTGAAACAGAGTTCAGGGAGGCCACAAGCGTGACAAGAACCCAGAGAGCAGAATTTACAGGTATTTGACTCAGTCAGCTCCAGAGAAAGGAAGCAGTGAGGCTGTGGAATGGCTGTGGTGGGTAACTCTGGATAGATGGCTGTGGATGTCTGTGGGCAACTGCTGCACACTGGGGAAGAGGCTTAGGAGTGAAGAATTGTTGTTTCATTGTGACAGTGCCCACAGCAGGTTCTGAAGGGCCTGGCACTGAATGCTAGTACTGCACAGGTTCTGTTCTGAGTTTTCCAGCAGTGAGGACACTATGTTTTTGAATGACCTCTCCAGAGATATGGGAGAGCTCTCCTGTTCTGCCCAGTTTATAGGGAATATTTTATGCTTTTTTGGATTTGGCTCCTCCAAGAAACTCTGAGATGTCATAAGTTGTGTGTTTGTCTGTGCATCCCTTCCTTCGTCCGTGTCAGGGGGAAGAGCAGGCCTGTGTGGAGGTGCTGATTACAGTCACTTTTTGGCTCAGGTTTTATCTCCAGAGGCTGAGCAGGACTTTGTACTTTCTGCACATTGGCTGAGTAAATTCTGGTGGATTTCTGATGTGATTTTAGATCATGAGAAACTTTGAAAACCGGAGATGTGATACTTCAAATGGTTCAATCAGCGCTTTACAGAAAGCTTTCTTACAAACTTGTGTGATATATATCAGACACTGGGCTGAGCAAACTGCCAAATTTGGAGTGAAGAACTTTTTCCAGCTCCACTTGCCTGGAATGGTGCAGGAGGGTGTTGTTCTGTGGCACAGGCAGCATAACTGAAATCTGGATCTGGGCATCACATCATTGGGTTTGGGGTTCTGAAATGTGTTTGCCCAGGAGATGAGGTTTCTCTGATTCCCCCGTGGGTGAGCTTTGTGTGCTTTTCCCAATTACAGCTCCTCTTCCCAGGCTGTGGGACAAACCAGGCACGAGCCTGTCTGAGAATCTCAGAATCAGTGGGGTGGGAAGAGGCCTCTGAGACCCCTGAGTCCAACCATTCCCCCAGCACTGCCAAGGCCACCACTGACCATGTCTCCTAGTGCCACATCAACATG